TTCCCTTGCCTGTGGAGACATGTTGAGTAAGAAGTTGCTGTGGGTGAGGTCCAAGAGGTTGTTGCCTGCTTTCTCCTCTAGGATTTTGATGGCTTCCTGTCTCACACTTAGTTAGGTCTTTCATCCATTTTGAGTTTATTTTTGTGTAGGGTGTAAGAAAGTGGTCCAGGTTCATTCTTCTGCATGTCACTGTCCAGTTTTCCCAGCACCATTTGCTGAAGAGACTGTCTCTTTATTCCATTGGATATTTTTCCTGCTTTGTCAAAGACGAGCTGGCCCTATGTTTGTGGGACCAGTTCTGGGTTCTCTATTCTGTTTCATTGATCTAAGTGTCTGCTTTTGTACCAGTACCATACTGTCTTGATGATTACAGTTTTGTAACACAGCTTGAAGTCCAGAATTGTGATGCCTCCAGCTTTGGTTTTCTTTTTCAAGATTGCTTTGGCTGTTCGAGGTCTTTTGTGGTTCCATACAAATTTTAGAATTGTTTGTTCTAGCTCTGTGAGGAATGCTGGTGTCATTTTGATAGGAATTACAATATTTATTTTTGAGAGACCGAGACAGAGCGTGAGTGGGGAGGGGCAGAGGAGAAGGAGACACAGAATCCTATGCAGGCTCCAGGCTCCGAGCTGTCAGCACAGAGCCCGACGCAGGGATCGAACTCATGAACCGTGAGATCATGACCTGAGCCTAAGTCAGACGCTGAGCCGATTGGGCCACCCAGGCACCCCAGCATGGTTACTTTTATCAGAAGCCATGAGGCCTGTACAGTGTTGAAGTAGATCTCCTTAACTGTAAGTCAGAGGAGGCAGGAGCCAAGTGCATTCACTGTACGTCCTGGATATCTCAAAGGGTGGGACTCCAGGAGTTCCAGAGGGGTGGATCTGAGGTTTAGAAGGACCAATTGCAATGCTGTCAGCCAAGGTATTTGGAAGGTCTACAGATGTGCCAGTTGAGGCCTAATGGTGCTGTACTCCGTGTGACTAATGCCGGGATTGCGGATGCAACGTGCAACGAAAACGTAAGGCCTGCTGAGCAGCATGGATGTCCTAAAGCCTCTGTACAAGGAGACCCCAGTGACTACGAAGTTCAAGAGGGGTTCCCCGGGGTCGGGATAATATTTGCTAACAGAACTTTAGCCACAGAAGAAGCACTGGCTTGTCTAGAAGAGAAAGGTTTGGCCCAGTGAGAAAACCTACAAACCATGGCTGAACCGTTTGTATCCAGGAGACAGGGAAGCTGTATGAGATCCATTTGTGTGAACAGGTTTTCCTGGATGATACTTTGCACAGGTGGAACGAGCGAGGCAGGAACTTTGTGTGGCCTTGTTATTTCTCCCCCGATCCACCAATATTGGTTCACAAACACTATCTTGTTTTTTTAAGTTATGATCTTTTTATTTTATTTTTTTTATTTTTATTTAAAAAAAAATTTTTTTTTTCCAACGTTTTTATTTATTTGTGGGACAGAGAGAGACAGAGCATGAACGGGG